GCTGCTGTGGCTGGAATGAGGCATTGTAGGCACCAGGAGCAGTGGTTCCATCCATGCCTGGCTGGAACTGTGGGACAACTTGGGGTGCATACTGTATCTGTGATGCTTGCTGAGGGGGAGGTTGTGGGGACACTGCAGGCTGCTGTGGCTGTTGCTGCTGCTGCTGCTGCTGCTGCTGAGGAACTTGGGGCTGTTCTGGTTGAGGAGTATTTGTTGCAGGACTTGGCTGTGTCTGAGAAGGCTCCTGAGCTGCTGGCTGTGACTGTGCTGGTGCCTGCTCTGGCTGGGCTGAAGTCTGCTGCTGAGTCTGTTTTTCTCCACCACTCTCTGCGCTGCTTACAGACACCTTATCTGGCTGGAAAGGCTTCTGGTTTTACTACTTTTTCTTTTTTCTCTTATATTTCAAAACTATTCTCAAATACACACATGCACACCCAACCACCATCACATCCAAAAACACAACACAAACACAGACACAGACAGACAGAAAGACACACACACACAACACACTCCTTCACGTCCTATGCCCCCTCATCTGCAACCAAACAGCCCTGTTACTCACCTCATCGCCATCCTTCTCCCCTTCCTCCTCGTCGCTGGACCAAACCCAGTCCCCACTCTGGGTGCGATGGAGGCGGCCTGATGTTCCTGGTTGGCGCCCACGGATTTGCTACATGAAAACATGGTTTGTTTTTTTGAGGTCTCTCAGAGGAGCATCACTTATTCTTACATCCCTTATTACGTGCATCACTTTATTTAAATCGAGCTAAGAGTACAAAGGTTTCTTTAAGAGTGAAGGAAAAGAGAGATACAATAAAGAAGGAGAGCAACAATTAATACAAATATACAAATGCCACAGAGAAATAATATTAATACCAATTAAAATTGCAGAGAAAGGCAGAGAGAGAGAGAGGGAGAGAGAGAAAGGATAACAATGTTAAAGATTCACCATAGCTGCCAACATCAGAACATGAAAAATGAATGCAACAGATGCAAAATTTGTCTCACAAAGTAATGCAACTTGGGATGAAAAAATCAAGTGAACAAGAAGAAGCAACACCGCACTTTTACTTAACATTTATAAAACCCGTATTAAATACTACACAGTAAACGAAGGACAATAGATTTTTGCTTTTCTAGTTATCACAACTTTGTACCTTAACCCCCATACCAGCTACAATCTCGGAAAAGAGAGAAGATTTCCCGACCCATAAATGGCCCAATCTGTTCACTAAAAACCATACCAAAACCAGAACCAAATTCAAATCATGCAAAAGGTGATTTCAGAAAATATTAAAAGCTCACACCCTCTTCTACATCCAAAGACACCCAAAAGAAGTGGAAATACCATGAACCTGTTTAGAGAGATACCTAAACATAAAAAGTTATTCTCAATGGGCTGAACTAAATGCTAATTTGGACAACTTATTCTATATTCATCAAATGAAAATCAAATACGTAACTGAGAATATGATAAAATTTAGGAGTATACGCAGGTACACGAAGCAATTATGACAACCAATATTCTTCATCTAACAAGAAGAAAACAGACTTTACACATATATATATTTCTTATAAAAAATGATGAGTTCTGTGTAGTATTTAACACTGTGCAATATTCCAGTATCTAATTAAAGGAAAAAGGCAAAAACTTCATAAAGGTATAAACTTATTTTGGAGATATATTTTGATAACATAAATGTTTTCATGAACTGCTTTGTCTGATGTCACTGTTTCAGATTCAGCAAGGAGCTCTTCATGCAATGCAGTGTAATTTTCCACTACTCCTTCAGATGTGGCACCAGTTCACACGAGTAAAAAAATTAAGGATCTTCAAACAATTGTATGATAAGATAAGTCCATAGATCTAAAAACAATCCCACAAAAAGTTATAGATATTCGATATATCTATTTTGTGTGTGTGTGTGTGTGTGTGTGCGTGTGTGCGTGTGTGCGTGTGAGAGTGAGTGAGTGAGTGAGTGAGTGCACACGCATGTGTGCGTGTCTCCCTCTTTTTTTCTCTATCAATACAGGCGTGGATGTTATGTGTGACCTGTGTTCATTGCAAAGAAGGGAAAAAAAGGTAATGAGAATGAATATCTTCCCTGTGCAAGAGATATATTTGACCAGTTTCAATTATATCTTTGTCAGAAATACATTTGTGTATATATGTTTGCATGTCCTAAAATAACAAATGAATGCAGAGTCCCAATTCTGATCATGAAGTAACGCAGTAAAAGGAATGAACCCAAAGAAAAAAGTGACAGACAGCAGTTCTCGGTGTGCCATTCAGCCTTGTATAGAAGACACTTTCCCTAACACTTACATAGCAACAATTTAAGAACATATTTAGGCATATGATGAAACTTCAACTACTGGGAAACCTCACATATATTTCTTTAATTTTTGGTGCTATCTCTTAAAAATTACTGAAGACATCAAGTAGACCTACTGTCTACAGTTACTGTGAATGGTCTTTCTAACATTATGCACAAAGTGATACATAACATAAGCCACAGGTCACAGAGAGGCGTACAACAGTCATACGATAATTTCAATGGATTATTTAAGGGTTTCATCCACATAATTAAAGGGATATAATGATAGTATCTGAATCATTAAAAATCTGTGATACACAGACAACAAAGCTTGGAATGTCTTTGTCTCAGCCTACAGTTCTTGAGTTTCTGATGCTGATGCTCTTATCTTTACACAAACATGCTCTACAACCAATGTCTCCGAAGTATATTAGAATGCAAGCTAATAATTAGAGTTACATCTAAAATATTGCTACTGGGTACAAGTACTATCGACTGTAGTTTTCTCTGGGAATTTTGATTGCATAGAGATGGCTCCACAAATTCTCAGCCACCAAGGAGCCAATTAGAAGGCCAACCTGAACCGATTTCCCCTTTTCTTGAGTTTTCAGGAAAAAAACTTTTTTTCTAATACTATCAAAAATATCGTCCCATTGGATACAGCTGCCTGGCAGCCTGTACAGGGTCCTAGGTGTGTGAATTGTAGGCCAGGCCCACATAAACATTCATCAGCAGTATCAACATTCCTTGCCTCCCTTTACAAAGTTATTATCCCTGTTTCTGCATAAGCATTGCCCAAGGCCTACTTTTGTCATTTGCTTTGACTAGTAACTGACTTCTTGATTATTAACCCACTGCCAGTGGGGATGGCATGCCATGTCCACCACGAGTTTAGTAATTGTATTCACACACAGATGACCCCACTAGTGCTTAGTCATCAATGAGTCAGTTTACTAGTCTTACCCACCTCACATATTTACCCTTTTCCTTGATTTCTATAAAGACTAGTTATTGCTTTTATATTGCTCCCAACATTATAATAATCATGAAGTCTATAATAATAATAATAACAAAAATAATAATGTTGCTATTAATAGAATTGTAAAAATACATATTTCCTGAACACCCAAAGAAAGGGGAAAACAGGTGGCCTACTAATTGAACTCTTGGTGGCTGGGCACTTGTAGAGCCATCTGTGTGTAAAGACAATTCACAAAACAAAACTACAGTGGAAACACAATGTTCTCCTGCAGCAATATGTTAACCCATTTGATGCTGATGGCATGATTAGGACCTATGTTCACTGTAATTTTAGTTTATTAATTGCGGTTACATATAGATGGCTCTGCAAGTACTTAGTCACTAATAAGTCAATTACTAGTCCTACCTGTTCTTTTATATCCCTTTACTACTATTATTGTCATTTGTGTATTCTAAGAACAATATATTATTCATAAAGTCAAGAATAATAATAACAGTATTGACATTAAATGTTAGAAAAAAGTTTTTCTTACAAATGCAAGAAACGGGGAAATCAGGTGGGGTCACTACGGCTTATTAACCGACACATTGGTGGATGAGCACTTGTGGAGCCATCTGTGTGCAACAAAATATACAAATTTTATGTACAGTGAAGAGTACATAAACCTGCAGCCACTGGGTTAAGCACTTGTGGTGCCATCTATACATAAAGACAATCATAAACATTGATGCCATCATGGCATCAATAGGTTAACAGATAATTTACCTTCTGAAACAATTTTGCTTCCATATAATTTCATTGATAACAAGAACCTTAGGACTTATCACAAATGCCTGTACAGAAAGAAACTAACTAACTCTTTTTCCTATGTCTGAAAGGAATATCTAATCACTCGCTAAAAAACTACACTTCCCATTTTGAAAAATGTCTTAGAAATTAACAATAGTCATCCAAAGAGCCAAAAGAAGAGGAGGTGAGAGGCAGAAGAGATGGAGAAGAGGAGAGGGAGGCTGGAGAGAGCAACATAAAATTGTGGAAGCATAAAACTCATTGGGAAAACGTGCTGGTTCCCTCAAGGAAGAAAGATTAGGGGTGTACTGAAACTGCAAAGGTGTGTATAAACAATAAAATAACAATAATGATAATAACAAATCAAAATAATGATAATAATTACTATAAACAAGTTAAAGATGCCAAAATAGAAGCACCTTATCCATCTACCCCAACTCTAGCAAGTATAAAAAGTCAACTGAAAGACTGAAACAATCACTAGCAAGTAAACTGCTTTTTTTTCCGTTTTGTTGGAATCAAGAGTGAGTTTCTGAAACCTTCATCAAAGCAAAATTTATAATAAATATTTGATACTTGTTTTAGATTTTTCATAGACTGATTACAAACTGGATGTATTTGGATTATAAAACTACAAAATATACTATAATTATAATCCTTGACTTCAGTTTAGAAAGGCATTATCAATTGTTTATAATCAAAATGAAAGAATCTGAGAATCAGTGATTTTAAAATTTGAAAAATCAAACTCTAAAGTGGAAAAAACTACAAGTGAGTTCTGCATCAACATAATGACAGAAAATAAAAAATAAAAAATAAATAAATAAGAAGTTATATCCTACTTTCATTACAGTTCCACCTGCTCAAAGACAGAACTCATCAAAGGGAAGTCGTGAATGATCACATTTAAA